AAATTTGGAGGACTTAGGGCTACAACACACTTAATGTTGGCTTCTCAATTTTCCCAATACTCTTGCTAATTTCTCCCCTCCTGCATTTCAAACCACGTTCTCTTTATTGCCAACTGGATCAAAGGTTGGCTGCCTCATACGATCAGCAATTGCCCTTTACTTCGAAGGAATTTGGTCTTATCTTATTATAATTTGTGTGACCCCTTGGGAAATGCCTCTTGGCAGCCCTCGTTGCATAGGCTTGCTTCCTACTCTTAGGTTTGTTGTGTTCATCTGTTTGCTGTTTTATCCTCTTAGCTTAGTGGCTTGGTAGTTCTTTTGTTGTTGCATACCTTGTTGTAACTATTTGGTGCAATAATCTACATGGAAATTAAGACAATGAAAAATGGCAATTGAAAAAACCCTTGAATAAATAGTTTCAGTACATAGTGTCGAAGGCTAATTTCAACATTTTGCCAGGATTTACTTATACAATGTTACAACTACGGCATTATGCTACTACAAGTATCAGTAGCATAACCAGTTTGCCTTCTAGCCTCCTCTGTTCTCTGAATACAACAGAAGGCAATAAACCAGTTCTATCATACAGAAGAAACACTAAGCTTAAGCTTCTTATCAGCAAAAGTTGTGTGTATATGCAGTCCCGACAGCCTTTGAGGTTGTGGCAATTACACTAAATACCGGAAGATTTGTCTTGCAACTGAAGTTGGCATTGGTGATTACTCAGTTCACTGGATCTGCAACCTCTTTGATCTGCACCAACTTGAAAAGTCGATGCCCCGGATAACAAGGTAAACTATAAATCCTAAATACCCAGCAGTGAAAGCACACACTACGAAGCCAACAAGCACCCCGTTCACTTCAGAGGAGAAGAAGTCCAGCAGAAGATAACCATTGATCACCATCACCAGGGCAGCCACAAGCCACGCAACAATCTTCATAGACAATAAAGAAAAAGATGTGAGCAATTCAACCATAATTTGCTTATTTCTGACTCATGAACAATTTTAAAAAACAAAGAAAAGGGAGAACAGCTTGAGTACATCATAGTAGAATCAATTTGAGGTGCTTTAATCTAATAAAGGAACTGAAAACTTTCATGGCGTAATCAGAAACTGAAATAAGATATCAAGCAACCATTCACCTCAAAGGAATATTCCTTGATTCTTGATCAAATAGATCCTATCACTAATGAAGTTAATCAACATAAGGGAAACGAGTAATCTAAACTCTATTTTCAGCTAGACTATGAAATTCAGTGCAGGTGAGACACTTTCTTTTCTCAACCCCATGGAAAGGTAAAGGGGGAAAAAGAAAAACATTCAACCAAGTATTACAGAATAATTAATGAAGCACTTGTATGTTTGTCCACTAAAAATGCTGTTCTATCACCAAATCTGCAGCACATAGCCATGATTTATCTTACAATTAGATTACGGCGACAGTTACCGTATTATTCTATCAGTGCAATAGATTCTCAAGTCATAGGGGCAGTGCACTTATTTTTGCGGTTTGCTAGTTATGTATAAAGGGAAACCTACCTGATTTGCATGGACAGAAAAATCACCAGGCATTATTGTTGAAATCTATACAAAAATTTGAAATGCAAATGCCATCATGGACTTTATGGCCTAGATGCAGAACAAAGGAAATAACATACCTTGAGAACAGGGCCAATTTTAAAAATTCCCATGATTTGCTCCTTTGACACCAAGAAAAGCAGGGGAATAAGTGCAAAAGGGATCTGAATTGACTGAAGCACATTAAGCCACTCATTCAAAACATCTAATGTGTCCTCTGATGTATCAAATACAAGAGCAACTATTATAGTTGGGATGATTGCACAGCTTCGTGTAATCAAAGCCCTCATCCATTTTTTCAATCTCAAGTCTAAGAAACCTCCCATAATGAACTGCCCTGCATAGGTACCTGTAATAGTGCTACTCTGGCCAGCTGCTAACAAACCAATACCCCAGATGTACAAAATTGGGAACACCCCACCCCCATACTTCTCTTGAAGATACTGCCCTGCATTTACAAGGCCTATACTGTCTGCCAGGTCTGTACCATAAAACCCCTTGGCAAACACAGTGGTAACAAATAGGTTGATAACGAAGGAGATAACAAGAGCTATGGTGGACTCTATGCTATAGTAATTGAGAGCTTCTTGAACTCGTCC